CTCCATCTTGCTGGCTGGTTCTAACGAAAGCGCTGACGACGATGACAAGACTGCTGGAGATCACACTCGTCATCGGCGGGTTTTCGTGCAACGGTAATCAGCCTGCATTTACTCGTTTAATGAATGTGAGGGTTGCTAAGTGGTCATGAGTCTTCTGCTAAGCACTACTTTTTGTCTCTTCAGTGCAATGCAGAATAGACTTCGCTCAACATCCGGCTAGGAATAAATACCAAAATTTAAGCACGGTTGCAGCAACATGCTGTAATTCAAAGCCTTTCAATTGAAGTTTATGGATCTTAGTCAGTCTTCAGCCTTCATCTTTTGAAGAAATTTATTCCCAGTGGATCTTTACTGCCTAATCTGTCGAAGAAGATAAGCTCATTGTCCAAAGCCTTTATCTGAAAGCCTATCACAAGGGAATAACACTAATCAATTGCAGCCCATTGGATTATTGTTGTGCCAACACATTATTACTGGAAACAAATCAGACGTGAAGTGGTCTCGCACTTCACAAAAATCCATGTAGCGTTAATGCAAATCATGATTCTAGACCTACTTAGCTTAACTGCAGAAGTAAACGCCGCGTTTAAGTGCTGTCGCTTCATCCAAGTGATTCGTCTCACCTGGTGTGTAGCAACGTATTCCTCACAACCATTCATTACAATGGCCTACAGTGGTGCGTGGCAGGCGGAGTAAACTCACTGCATTGAATGCTTTGCTACGCTGCCGTCACAATTACTTTGAACACAGCCTTCTAATACTTTCATTCATCTGGAAGTTTTTGAAGCTTGTATCACGCAATCTCTCTCTCTCTCACCATTTCTCGCCCATACTTCCTCCTCCCGTCAATCATGGGATCAGTCAATTGTCTAGTGTGCCTAGCATTCACCAGTCCTTCATGCAACCCACTCGATGCTACCGGCATTTATTCCACTGATAAGTGATGGTTAAGTGAAGGAAGCACTTTGAGTTCTCAATGGAATTGGAATCTGAAGGGACAAGGTAATTGCAATGGCAAATCTGCATTTGCCATGGTGGATGACAGGT